GCATAATTTTGTGCTTAATTTGGCCGTCTAAATTTGCCTAATTCTACGGGGACAGAATTACAGGGCTGGCGGTTCTATAGGGTTCCTCTGTTATTTTTATATCCCGACTGCTGAACATCAAGGGACATGATTCTGCTGGGCAATGTGTGTTTTCAAAAACGTCTTATTTTCACTGGTAATATAATACTTAACATACATGCACATGTATTCAGAGCCGAGATTCTTCTTTCTCTGTATCTCTATTTCTTTCTCGTGGGAGAAAGATAATTGTCAAATAGCCAACCAGTGGTTGTTGCGTGCAGTGTGTACCTTTGGCGGTCAATTCGTTGGGGTATGGCAGGGCAAATTTACTTCAGTTAAATAAGGGCCGAACAACTCAGACAGTTGGCGTATAGTGGTGTGAAGACATAAATACTACATTTATACAGGCGTTCCTTTTTGTAGGCCTACATTGACTAAATCTTGCAGTAAGCAGGGCTGGCGATACAGCATGGGGCAGACGAGGTTTTACAGTTATTCTTTTTTCTACTTAAAATTAAAATGAAGTTGATAACTATTTGTTGTTTTTATTCTGCTACGAATGAACTGGGTCAACATACTAAGTTAAGTTAAGCTGTTTTTCGCCTGACTTTGTTTTTACACTCTGTGTTACAAAATGTGGCATGTCTTTAAAACTGCTCAAGATATTTGAACACTTAAAAAATCAGTGTGTTCAGCATTGAATTTGCCACTCTTAATTCAAAATTTCCAACAACTGGGATCTTTCTCTAGGCACACACACATTTTCTTTTTTTTACGGAGGCAAAAAATCTGAAATGACCTCCCATCAGTTGTAATGTCGGTGGGGGTCAGTCACAATTTCGACTGTGGTGCAACACCAGAGCTGGAGGTAACAGTCACACCGAGCGATCTGAACCTTTCTCTTCTGTTCTTGACGGAGTCTCCCAGGACTCCACAGTCCTCCTATTGTTTAGATGGGCCCAACGCTACGTTGTACAAATGATTTGTTCTTTATCTCTTTACTTTTAATAATGATACCGTATTGGTTCGAATATTGTTCAAAATGATCATTCCTTTTTTTTCTGTTGTTTGTGTACAGTTTACCATGTGTATAACTAAGAATTTATTAAATTTCTTTGGAAAAATTGAGCTTTATACAAATTTACATATATGGAAATTTCTTGACAGAAATGTTTTTGGGGTCATTAAAGTCTGCCCTCTATTGACTGAAGATGTAATAGTTAATGTGTCTTTTCTTATCCTAAGTCTGTTGTTTGTGAAATTTGTGTTTGATGCAACCCTCTTGCCAAACGGAAGTTTGTCAAAATGTTTTTAACCCCCCTAGTGTCCAGCTGATGATGAGAAATCAGAAGAGTAGGTCATTAGTTGGCATTAAGCCACCAGCAAGGCAATTTTTTTGTATTATGTTTAATTCCCAACCATAATAAATATCCTCATCACACCTGTAATACTGTAAAATAACAAGACACCCTCTTAAAAACCTCCTTGATTCCAAACATAATGACCCATTTCTTTCCTTTGGAGCATATCAAGGAAGTCCAGATCTGAAGGGAGGGAAGTCATACTTGAGCAATCTACTTCCTCAATGTCCGCTGCCCAGTCAAAGCTGTATCATGCAATCATCAATTATGCACACTGCTTCTCAATGTAATTCTCCTTCGGAGCCTATATCAAGGAAGTCAAGATCTGAAGGGAGGGTAGTCGTACTCGGACAATCTACTTCCTGTATGTCTCCCGCCCAGGTAAAGCTTATCACATATCTGACAAAACACAAACATAACAGAACAGCGTCTGTCCACAGTTGACAAAGTCAACTTCTGGGGGTTCACAGAGATAAGGCATTGTTCAAATAAAGACATCATCAATGGGCAACTTACAATACATGTACGGTTTTGCTATTTCCTTCGTCTTGGCCTTAAATAAAATAAATAAAGAGCGCCAAAGAGATGGTTCTGATCCGGATGTTCTCTTTCTGTTAAACTTTCTCTGAATTTCCCCAAAATGACTTGGTCATGTGTGAAATGATACTGTCAATGTTCTACTTGCAGTAAAATTGACAGTGTTGAAAATGCTCCATAATTTATAAAGTTATAGTAAGTAACGCTAGGGGAAAATTACTCCCAGTGACTCAAAATCAAAAGGCACTCACACATGTGGTTGGTCAGTCTCCGAGTTTGAGCTCAGGAAAAGCCCATAAACATGACTATGGTCATTCAGTGCTGGAAAATAGCTGGACAGACTGTGACAGAAACAAAGGGCAGAGTAAAGAAGTTAGACTTGGCCATGCCCATACATCACAATATGAGCGACTTCGAAACTTATTTTAAAAATGCAGATCACAGTTTAAGATTATGATGGGTTTTTTTAGTTTTTAGTTAGGTTTTACGGTGCCTCCAACTGCATAAGGTCATATGAGCGCCAAGGGGTGGATGTCAACATAGAAGTCCAAACGGGGGATTCAGGCTTACTCTGCTCACCTCTCTAGCCTCAACAGCACAAAGTCTGCTTCGACTATCACGGCACCCGAGAAATAGCATGCAGTTCACAAGAGAGTGACAAACATGCAAAAGAAGTAGAGGAAAAATGGCGATAATAAGGATTAGGAAAGAAAAAGAAGCAGTTCCCCCTATGTTGTTCCTGCACAGTGTGAGCAACATAGGGGGAACTGCTGCCTTTTCTACACAATAAGATCATATATGTGCCAAAGATTAGAGGTGTTACAAGAGAGCAATAAACACAAAAAGGAGGAGAGATAAGGACACTAGATTTCTGATAGAAAAGGAGGAGAAAAACCACACCAGAGCAGCTGCCAACCACCCACACAGTTCATGATTTACTGTTACATAAACCAAGACAGACACCACTACATTATTAAATTTGACATAAATTTTTTTTTATTTTGTAGATATATACTTTAATTGTACCTGGTACATATATACTATAAAGATTAACTACCATTATGATTATAAACATCCAAGAAATGTACAGACTATCATGGGATATAACACTGAAGATGTGAAAAATGTATAGATGGTTTGGTTTTTTTTAATCAATATTTACACACCTTTTTTTTATTGTTCCTTTTCCTGTCAGTTTTTTATTTTTACAGGGTAAAAGTATATGCAGATTCATGCAATCTAACTTCTTGCATTTTACCATAATCTCCTCATGTATATACTTGCGGTGTATTTCACTGTAACAATACAGTACAAAAAAGATTATGCCCATAAAAAAAACAACCCAACCTTGTTCAAATTCAAAACCATGTTTTCTCTAGTACAAAATCAAGATATGAAGCCGGAGAGCTGTTCTAACAGAGTTTTAGGACAGGGTGATACCGACGTAAAAGGTAAATAGCTAATGGGTGCACAAAATAACATGTGCTTTAAAACAACATTATAATAACCCATTCGAAAAACAGTCAGTGAAGTAATATTATTTATAATATATATATATATATATATATATATATATATATATATATACGGTCGAACTTCCCAATCATGAGCATAAACATGTCCGCAACAGGCATTAACATGTCCGCGTGGTTCTGTAGCACTTTCATGAATTTGCACGTAAATCTCACGATTATACGGACAACAGTATATGTCACAATGCCATAAAACTACATGCTAAAAAAAAAAGCAGTGGACTACAACATTCAATTTGCATAAAAGTAAAGTGCTGTGAAGATAGTGCGTTGGCTTACGTTGCTAAAAAGAATGCCCAAAACAAAGAGGGACCAACCCACAAAAGGCACAAATCACTGGAAGGGTACATTAAAAAAAAAAACAACTACAGGTAAAAAAAACCCTCAAGTTTACAAATAAACAACTTTTTCACCCCAACGGTACAGCAAATAAGACAGAGGCAGTAAAAGCCACATGGCATTAACACAAAGTGATGACAAAGCCAGCCCTAGTTCACAAAATAGATGCAGATTGTATATGTATATCTATATATAACACATAATGTACATGTATATATACGTTTACCAAAATACAATATCATGGACATTGGACATGTAAAAATATGAGCAAAATTAACACTTGGAAACAGCAATTAACCAGAACCACTAGACAGAAGCCGCAAAAGATGGATTATGTGTTTTGTCTTATTTCTATATCAGACCACTCTACAGACTATCGTCTCTAGATGCCTCCCACTCAACAGACAGGTCAAAGGTCATAACAATAAAAACAGGCTGTACTTGTCTCTAACACAACCACCAGTCTAGTACCCACGTACGGAAACATGCACAAAGCAAACAAATTTTCAAGTTCCAATTTTTTCTTACACATGATATATATTCTTTGTATTCAAAACATGTACATGGCCAACAGATGTTCAGCTCCATAAGTTTTTCTAATCCACATATAGTCTTTGTATTTAAAACATGTGCAAAGTAAAATACGTACCTAAAAGCAACCATGGTAAGCTATCATCATTCCCACCAACCCAAAGCAGCAAGTGATATATTCATTAGTTAGGAAAAAAAAATAATTTTAATACTCTATAAAAATCAAGCAAAATAATCCCATTACTGTTAACAAGTAAGAAACATACCACAAAAAGTAGAGCAGCGAGCAAACAGCAAAAATACAACGACAACAAGGTGACGAACTAGTCTCGCAGTGGGCCAGTTAGGGCACAGACACGAGCTTCCACCTGGTGGCCAGAGAAAAACTTCACTGGCAGAAGAACGCAATGGTTGTCAATTACCGTTAGGCATCAGGAAAATAGGTTTGGTTTTAGTAAGAGTTTTACTGCCCTTGCAACACAAACAGGGCATATAAGTGCTTAAGATTAGAAGTGTTACTAGAGAGAGTAACATTGAAAAAAAAAGAGGGAGAGATAAAAACGATGGTTGTTCGATACGAAAGAAGTAGCAAACCACACAAGAGCGCCCACCAACCACCCACATAAACATGCATTTGGATATAGAGATGTTCTGACATAAGCTGTTATGGATTTTTTTCTCGTTTCTACAAAATGGCAAGTTCCTCATCAGCATCTGCTACTCTTTAACTCCTCAACAAAACAGACTCTGTTTATGAAACAAATGCCAATTCAAATTTGTATTTTTTATCAAAAGTGTTGTCGAAAAATTCACCATCTCCTTTGGAAAGTTTAACCAAAAAGAAAGCACAGTTGCTTGTAAGTAATGTAAGTAAGGCAAAGGCGTGTCGGAGAAAGACGTTGAGAAAGAACCGGTGTAGCGCAACCCACTGGGCAAACTGCCACTCAAGCTGGGCACAGGGAAAAGCTTTCCTCATTCAAAGTGATCACACAGAAAGCATTTGTGTGGCGTCATGGTGAAATCAGGTGTTCATCAAAGTAATTAAATAGGAGAAACCAACATTTTCTGGCCCATTGGGCATTTAAATCAATCTTGGTTTTTTTTTCATGTCATCTTTCTAAAAACTGCATGGATTTTACAGAAAAATGAAAAAAGTGCAAAAAATGTTAATTTGCAGTTCCAACGACACTATACCTTTGGAAGCCATCAAACTTTGTCGGCTTTTTTCTCACTAATTATACTTTGACACAAGGCAATACCAATCTCCTTCAATCGCAGATATCTTGACTTCTATTCAAGATAGATGGGTATTTTTCAAATTAAAACCAAGACAATCGAACAAGCTTTATGATGGTACCATTAACTCCATATGCCCCAAAATTGACGTGCGCCTGATCCCAACATGTCATAAAACATTTCCTAGCAACACATCATGGGAATATATGGATGTACACTCACACACTCGTACCATCGTACCAGGAGTGCTATTTCAAACATTTCAAAAACATGAACAGTAGCTGCAGGATGTACAGCAGAGTCCGCATAAATCAAACACAATTTATCAGAAAACAAGGGTTTACCGAGAAAAAATAAAATCCCCCTATTTATTTTTTTTACTTTCTTTTTGAGCAGCCTCTCTAAACCCAAAACCCGGCTAAACCAAAAAAGAAAATCCAGCAGTCCCACTGACTTCCGTTTCAGCGGACTCCACTGTATATAGTAAATCTTTCCCACATTCTTAAGGCCAGTGGGCCAACACCTCAGCCAGACACGCGGGCCGTCAGGGCGTGGCAGCTGGAGTCACAGGAACGTCACAAGACACGAAGGAAAGGACGACATCCTTGGTACGCTGTTCAAATGTTTTAAGCCCAGAAAGGAAAATTTTCAGGAGAAAGAAAAAATAATGTTTCATTCCCTTAATCTTGTGCTTGCTCCATATATCTTTTCTTGCTTGTTTTCCACATTTAGAATTTGAATTTCTACAAACTAGTTCTCAAGTACATGCACCAGATACAATGGATTGAGAAAGTGCAACAATAAAAATATTTTCAAACGTCTGGCTTACTGCATCTGACCAGCTGGCCCACGACATCTTTTTACATCATTAGGTTTTAAGAAAGCATTCAGCAACATCAAAATCACTTGTCATAATAACATTTTCAAATATGTAGTTATCTTCACACACCTTTAAAAAAAACAAACAAGATTTGACTGTAGCTGTAATAATCTCACCAGTGTTTTTGCAATATCAGGCTTTGGTTTTGCTGAGCCAAACACGTCATAAGGCTATCTACAAAATTTCCAATGGAAAAGACAAAGACTGTGTTGTGTGAGGATTCTGCACTTCCCAATAACACTTTATAATCTGGACAACTGCACAAAATTCGGAACAAGTCCAGAAGATGTTTCCAATCTTTACCTAAAAGTATATATTTTTCCACATATATGATCAGTAATGCCCTTTTAAAAGAAAGTGTGTGCACAAAAAAGTATGAGTAGGCAGATATATATATATCTTTTTTTCTTAATATACATTTGACAAAAGTAAAACAAAGTCCATCATTAGCCAGGCATAAACTAACTTATTGCAGTCTTAATCCTTTCAGAAATTCAATCAATCACAATAAAAGAGTAAACAAATGCAAAGCTAAACAGAGAAATGTACACAAAAAGCAGCATATCCACATGATGAAGCGCAACCGATGCATGAACAAGCATTCCAAGATCAGCAGCGACAGTCTTTCCCCCCACCAGTTTCTGGTGTTCTTAACTTACTCGTTTCTCTCAAAACAAGGAAAAAGTGCTAAAAGTTTACTAAAAGCTGAACAACCAAGGCAATTGCTTGTTATTATATACCAAGGTTTTACTGTACCGCTATAATATATATTGTTTCCACAAAAAAAAAAAACTATTAAAAAATCAGTTCCCGCCGAATCTGACCATAACTTTCGGCAACGAGCAATACTGACCAAAACAACTTCCCAAGTACTCCAGAATAAGTAATCCTAGTCAGGCAAAAATATTCACATCTCTCTCCCTTACTTCAAAAATCTTCAAACTTTGTGAACAAAAACAACTTACAGCAAATAAGATGAAAAAATTCCTTGTGAAAATAAAACTGTCAGGAATCTTTTATAACCGAAAAACTATAAATCTAAAACCAGTAAATAAGAAAGTCTACAATATCAGCTGAAAGCACTACCTGGTTAAAAATGCTGAACACTTCGGACAACCACTGTTCATCATGTCAATCATAAAGAGTGTAAACAACTGAAAAAAATAATAATCATCAATCATCATCCTGACTTCAGAAAATTTTTTAATTCAGACTCCAGTCCCTGGTCTAATATTGATGAGGAAGACAAAGAATCTAGGTGCGCAGCTTCATTTTATTCTTACAGGAGAAAAAATATTTTAAACAAAAATAACATCACACATACCCTGTCTAATTAAAAAAACCAAACAACAGACTATTTTTTAAACATAAACAGTTTTCGATCCCAACGGCAACATTTTGAAAATTAGTGTTCTTTAACCAACTGCACTCTAACCCAAGTTTGAATACCATTGAGTGAAACTTGGGCAGGAGAAAGTGCCTGGATTCTATCCCAGCGGCAACATTTTAGAACTAAGCATGCACAGAAATGGGAAGTTTTGCACACATTCTTTCACATCCGGTTCCACATTGAGGCACACATATGCCCATGTCGATCTGCTGGAATGGTATCAAGCTATTTTTGAGATTTCTGACTGGGCAGATGATTGACTTCTTGTGACAGGCTCTCAAATTTTGGCAGAGGTGTGAACGACATCGGCGCAGCCTTCTCCCCGCTAGTGTACCCAAACTCTTCCTGTGGGGGGACTGCATTGTTTGTGGAGAAGGGAACTGCTTGAGGAAACTGAAGGGGAGAGGACATTCCTTGTTGAACTTGATGATGAGGAGAGGACATTTCCTGATGAACTTGAGGAGAGGACAATCCTTGATGAACTTGGTGATGAGGAGAGGAAATTTCCTGCTGAACTTGATGATGGGGAGAGGACATTTCTTGATGAACTTGATGATGAGGAGAAGGCATTGCTTGATGAACTTGATGATGAGGAGAAGGCATTGCTTGATGAACTTGATGATGAGGAGAAGGCATTGCCATCGGTGCCCAAGAGCTGCTACTGCCGGGGGACATAGGGTGCTGAGGTGGAGGTACGTCAGACCTCTGGGAACTGCTGCTATACTGATGATGTTGCTGCTGCTGCTGTTGCCTATGATGAGTGCTTGCCATATACGATGGAGGGGGGTTTACAACTTTGTCTGTGTACATAACGGGTTGTGGGGGAGGAGGAGGAGGAGGAGCAACAGTTGTAATCCTCGATGAAGACTCCGGTGGCCCTGGGGTAGACATCTCCTGGCTGTAGTCTACCGCAGCCGCTTCAGGGTAGTTAGCAGACGGAACGTTAAAATGCTGGAGAAGCTTCTTCACTATCTCCCCTGACGACGGGTCCGCTTTGTCTAAAGGAACAGCGTTCTCAGGCATACGTTGGTATTGCGACTGATCCGCTGCCATGTGCGGTAACTGGTAATGTTGATACTGCTGTTGTTGCTGCTGCTGGGGATAAAAGTTGTTGAGAGATGCGCTCATCCCAGTTGCAACTCTTTGGTAATCAACAACTTTCTCTGTTGGGGGACCACTGCCGTACTGATGAAGCTCATGGGACTGATGGGCATTCTGACCGCTGACCATCTGGCTGGAAGCATGCAGACTCGAGGTGCTGGCTTGTGGAGGAGACATTAGTTCTTTCTGACCACCCCCAGAGTAGCCTACAGGGTCCGTGAAGTAGCCTCTGTTAGCCGATACTGGTGTACCCGGGCTGACTAAAGGAGACATTTGTTGCGGGAACGCAGAGGTCATGTCCTCTTGTGCTCTCACACTACCCACTGATTCACTCATGCCCAAACTACGAACGTCCCGATTAGGCACAGAACTTCCAAAGGCTACATCGGACACACGTGTCCTCCCTTGTCCCTCAAAAGGAAATTCTCCACTACCTTGGTGAGCTGCCGACCTCGGTGGGCTAAAGTTAGATATCTGCCCCTCGCCTGGATGGCCACTTGCCCCTGCAACAGCCTCTGCAATATCCTCGTTCCTCTTATCACTGTCAGTCTGCAGACTCTCGCCAATAGGAGAAGTTAATCCCCCTGCTGGCTTCTTCGTTTTTTTAGACCCCCTCCCAGAACTCTCACCCGACTTGTTTTTGGTTCCTGGACGAGCATGAACTTTCCTCGGCATCTGCACTACTCCATCAATCACGGGAAACGGCTGCACTTCTCCGTTTCTGTCATGGATTCGACGATGAGTCAAAAGCGAGCCGTGATGACCAAAACTCTGCAGGCAAATAGAGCACTGGTAGGGCTTTTCCCCAGTGTGAGTGCGCACGTGAGACTTAAGCTCCTGGCTGGTGTAGAAGCCTTTGCTGCAGTACGAGCAGAACTTTGTCTTCTCCTTGTTGTGTCGACGGATGTGTAACACGAGCGTGCTGCGAGACTTCAGGATCGTGTTACACTTGGGACACGCATGCATGCCATTTTTGACAAAAGGGGGAATCTTCACCTTATCAGATGGTTCTACTTTATCATCACCTTCAGGACCCTCATCCAAAGACAGCGGAGTAGTGTGTGTTTTAGTGTCTTTGGAATCGACTGGCTCAGTATTTGCCTGGGTGTACAAAGCCCCCCCTCCTTGAGGTTCAGAGCTGCCAGACACATCTTCTTTACTTTGCACCGGAGGTTCTTCTCGCTCAGAGCTTGCCGTGGCCGAGTCAGAAGACACCCCCTGTCCACTGTCGGTCACCACAGCTGAGTCAGAAGAAGACATCAGGTGCCCACTCTCAGTCACGACACCACTACCGACCTCCTGTACCCCCTGTCCCTCACCCTGCTGCTCCCCACTCTCCTCGCCGCCTTTCTGCCCACCAGACGTGCCATCACCTGGGGTCTCTGGCGGTAACTGCGGCTCCCCAAACTCTTCACTGCGCTTTTTCTGAGCGGCACGTTTCTTCTCGGCTTTTTGCCGGCGCAGCTCCTCTATCTGCCTCTGAGTCTCCTGCTGCTTCAATATCTCCGAACTGTCCAGGTGTATCGGGGCGCCCACACTCTCGCTGCCTGAGCTCTTCCGACCACGCTTGCTGTCCGGGGACTTGAGCTGGGAGCGCCGCTGCTCTCGCGGGGAAACTTTAGACGGGGTCGTAGACACTGAGGAGGAGACAAGGGGAAGTTTAGATTTAGTTTTTGTAAGATTTTTACAAAGCTTGCAACACAAATAGGGCACATAAGAGCTGACAAAAAGAGGTGTTACTTTGAGACTAATACAATCACCAAAATGCCAGTGTGGCGAAGCAGATCTAGCTGTAGAATCCCTGCTTCAGCAGTGCAGGACACACAGGGCCCTGTGACAGGAGATATGGCAATTTCATTGACACTACAGGAGAAGCTGTATGGGCCAACATAAGAACAGAGCAGGGCAGCCCAGTCGGTCGAGAAGAAAAAAAAAAAAACAGAGTGTATTCCTGGAGAGTAACATAACAATAAAAGGAGGAGAGATGATGATGATGATAGATATTTGATATGAAAGAAGGAGCAAACTACACCAGAGCCCTCGCCAACTACCCACAGAAGGGCAGGGGTTGTGTAGGAGGGAAACTAGCTTAATCATGGCAAGCAAAGAATGAGATACCACTAGCTGCATGTCTTCCAACTTTGATGGCTTGTGCCCCAGGCCAACAGCAGCTTAATAATAATGATTATTTATTACAGCTATATAGCTTTTTTTCAGAAGTTGCTCAATGTGCTTTACAATAACAAAAAAGAAAATACAATCAAACCTGCTCTAACAGCCACCGGTATAAGACAATCACCTGAACAAATAGCCACTTCCCATCCCCCCTCCCCCCCCCCTGCGCATTTTCCACCCATAATACAGACACAGAGTAAGACACTTTCAAAATTGTATATCTCAACCCTTAAGATTCTGGTCCCTGATAAATGTTTGCCCGATAAGCGCAATCCCGCGCGGCGCTCCACAGCTGGTCCCTGATCAGTCATCGTCCCGCGCGGGCAACGCATTTCGTTTAGGGCGGGGTCTGCATCTGTGTGCTAAAATGTGTGTGGGTCAGTCTGCTTGTGCCTGTGTGTCCATCTGGAACTTACTGCATTGTTTTGCAACGCGAGGCGTTGGTAGAGATAACAGAGCGTCGTTGAGACGTTCATCCAATGAAATATGAGCATTTTGACCCAGTTAGACACTTGAGGGACTCGAAAGGATATTCAGGAAATAGGACTTTCATCTTTCAATGCAAACACCTTTCCTCACTTTTCAAACGATCTAATTCTTACACCAAACGTTGTTTCCTGATGTAAATAATCATATTTGGTGGTTTTTTAACCATTGTCCTACCAGAGGGAGAAATTTGAGAGCAACTGAATAAAAAAAATATTCGGAAATTATCCCATTTTTTTCCTCTTTCGAACGATAGCTGATAAGCAGCTGTTCGCAAGTTCATTCATAATAGGTGTGAAATCTGGAAAACTCTGGAAAAGTTATTCGATTTGGTGTAACTTCCAATCTCAGCGTCTCTGATCAACCGACGAGGAGATAATTGGATTATTCGTGTGATCGTAACACTTATTCATTGATCGTATCAGTTTGCTGTAAAAGATGAGGTGTTTCCCTGACCTGCCGCGGCACGCTCGCGTGACCGGTGTCTGACCCAGGCACCCCGCGGCACAAGCTTGCGGGCGACGTAAGTGGGACATCTATCGATAAGAGCCCTCTTCCGGTTAACCCCGCAGGACTAGAGTTAATGATATTAATAAATAACTATTTACGCAGAGCACTTCCCGTAATAGTGTGCTCAATTCACCTCACAGTAATAAAAAGAAAATGAAATAAGATTAGTTATTCTTTTCCTCCCTACCCCCTCATCTCTCTATATTTCTCTTCCCACTCCCTCCCTCCAGTTGCCACAACATTACATTGACCAAGACGGTAAGAAAAGTAAAGTATACACTTCAGCAAAAAAATCTTACTGGCAGTAGATCTAGGGGTGGAGCCTGCAGACTCTGGTGTCTGCTTCGATCGCTTTCCCGGCTCCGACAGGCCATGGTTAGTGCGGCGGTGAGCGTTGAGGGAGGAGGCCTGGGAGAACACTCGGTCGCAGTCCTGGCACGGGTGCTTGCTGTCTTTGTCGTGCACCCTCAGGTGCCGGTAGATGCTGGCTATGCCGTACACCTTCCCACAGACCAGACACTCGCACCGCTTTTTCTGCTCCTCGTCCGTGAACATCTGAAAAAGAACATCGGTTTCGAAATTAGTTCAGTTTTAGTTATAGTAAGAATTTCATGGCACTTACAACACAATTAGACCATACAAGTGTCGGAGATTTGTGATATTACAGTATAATCCACTTCTATCGACATGCTTTGGGAAGTGGATTTGATGGCGGTATATAAAAATGTCAATAAATGAAAATATAAAGAGAAAGAGGAAAAAACAAGGGGAGGGCAGCGGTAAAAAACAACACTACTTTTTAAAGGTGGTTGCTTCCATTGATTCTTGAAACTATCAAGAGGTGGCCGGGGGGGGGGGGTTGGAGTTACGGCATGAAAATATAAAGCCAAATCAAATAGGGTTCTTTCACAAAGCACAGTGAAACTAACAAGAAGAAGCAGAGGGGGGGATGGAGTTACGGTACCAAAGACAGAGCAGCGCAGGAATGAACTTCACACAGGGCAAACTTTGTTGTAGCATCCTTGTAAAGCCTGTTTATGGCCGCTTGCTGGGGAAAATGGAAAGGCCAGGCACTGACTCACTGACCGCGGCATTTGCCAGCAACAGACTGAGAATGGGATGGGGAAGGGGAGTGAGCGATCAGGAGTGGGGGTAGGGAGGTGATGCCCAGAGTGCGAGATGCTCACGACTGTGAGGCACTGTACTGTGTTGGAGACTACACTGTGTAGGCCCTATATGACCTACTAAAGCCTGGTGTGTTATATTAGGTGACTTGGCGGGTATGTGGACTTAATGAAGAACTAAAATGTTGAAAGTAAGCGTGGCTTTTTCCCCCATTTATGTTCGTGGGCTTCACCAGGTACCCAGGAAGCAGGTCAATAAAGAAGAAGGGGCCGAAAAAAAGTCGATATAAGAGAAATTGTTTAGTGAAGCTATTCAAGGAAAAATTTCGTAATCGGAAAATATGTTGATATGTCAAAATGTCGATAAATCGGACGTCGATGTAAGTGGATTATACTGTACTACAAAGTAACACCCAAAGAAAAGGTTTTAGTGTTAGTTTTAGTAAGAGTTTTACGGCACTTGCAACACACAAAGAAAAGGAGGAGAGATAAGAACATAGATGTTTGATAGGAAAGAAGGAGCAAACCACATTAAAAAAAGGTGTGTGCATTCATAAAGACCTATCTGAAATACCAACAGACATAATATGGTATGCCCTCATCAATCTTTTTAGCACACTTCTCTTCTCTACACAAGTCAAGGAACAAGGGTCTGCTTTGCTACTATTCCAACAAAGTTTTTTTTATTTTAAAGAAAAAAAACACACAAAAAACATGTCTAGGAAACTGATGAGAGCAGAAAAAAGAAAATTCCCACTATGAGAAAATTAACTTATAAATACCACAGATTTCCTTACCTTGTACAAGTGTTTTCTTTCCTTTGGTACAATTTTATTTTTCTTCACTGCTGAGTCTGCCTTGGCTGGAGTGGCGTCACCTTCCTGCACCGGTGTCACAGATGTCATGTCTTCCGTGATACTAGCAGGCGGGACAACGCTCGTAGCTGCCCCCGCGGACAGCCGAGGAAGGTCTAAGGCCGTTGACTGACCAAGGATAGGGAGCCCCAGATTTTCATCCATGTCTGCTAGGGCTTCATCCCCAGCATCCAGATTAACTGTGTGCACGAGGTTGATGCTGTCTTGCAGAGAATTTTCATGGCTGGTCAAATTGCTGGGGCTGGCATTCTCTTCGTAGGCCGTCACAGCCGAGAGAAGGGTGTTGGGTGACAAAGTCTGCCGCAGACGACTTTCCAGATAAGCGAAATCCTGCTGGGCCAGGTTAAATCCTGCCAGCTCCTGACTGAAGCTGCCTGGGTTGGCCGAAATCTGCCGCAGGAATCCCTGGATAAAGTTGTCTTGTCTCAAGCTGTCCGGGAAGTCAAGCTCATTCTGCACAGTGGAGCTGAAGAGGCCGTTGTTGTTGATCTCCGGGTCTCTTTGGCTGGCCGGGTACATGGGAGTAGCAGGGAGGGAGGAGGACGACTGGTCGGCTAATTTGGGAGTGTCTCGCGTCGAATTGAAACCTGAGGGTGCTCCTGAAAAACCCATCTGATTCACAGGTGGATTGTAAGACTGTTAGACAGAGGAAGGGGGAGGGAAGATGTTAATTTTGAATTTAAATACAAGTTGCATGGCACATGCAATACAAACAGGTTACATAAAAGCTAAATATTAGAGATGTTACCAGAGAGTAACAGGATACAAAGAAAAGAAGGAGGCATTTATAAGGACAAGAGATGCTTGATAGGAAAGAAGGAGCAAACCACACCAGAGAACCCACGAACAGGAAAGGTCAAAATAATCCAGTATTTGTTTATTTTTTGTAGAGGTTTTACGGCGCTCGCAACTGCATAAGATCATATGAGCGCCAAGGGGTGGATGTCAACAGAGAAGTCTTTACAGGGAATCAGACTTATTCTGCTCACCTCTCTAGCTTCAACAGCACAAAGTCTGCTTCAACTATCAAAGCACCCCGGAAATAGCCGGTCACAAAAGTGTAACAAACATACAAAAGAAGTAGAGGAAAAAAGTGATGATAGTAAGGATTAGGAAAGAAAAAGCAGCAGTTCCCTGTTGCAGTTCAGGCAGTTATGAGCGTGACATTGATGAATCAGCAAATTTGCAATTACAATTCTACTGTGCATAAGAACTCGAGATGTTAATTTCCCCCCCTCTGGGAATGACCTAAGGACATTTCAGTCAGTAGCACCGCCCCGATAATCCAGTACTCAAAAACATGGGAGTAAAAAGACTTGAAAAGATGTAAACCATATCATAATGATCATCTACACAGGAGTTCTTCCAAACATTAATGTAAGAAGGAAAACAATCCTTCACCACTGTTGTCTCCATGGAACAGACGTACCTAAATACATGGTGTCAGGAGTTCAGCACAGAAAAAAAACTCCACAAATCATTCTCCATGATCCAAGGCTAATGCAAACTAGTGCCATTGGTGTCATGTATGAACAGATTAGCTGGCAATTTCGTGCCTAAAACTCTATCAGTTTTGTCTGGACTTTGTTATGTGGGTTGCATAGTCAAGTGGTTTTACTTCAATTTGACACAACAAATATGTTTGACATAATTTGGTGAATACACAGCTAGAGTCAGTCATTATCGATACATTTTCTTTCTTTTCAACCCCATTTATCATAACAAAATTTCTTTTATATCTTTCTGAAAAAGTTCATGCCACAAAAAATTGAATGCTCGTCCTGAATTTTGGCCGTGTACAGAACTTATATAGGGTGTCCTTTTCAAAGATATTGTCAACTCATTAGGCATACAGTAGTATCGTATGAAATTTGATGGCTTCAAGGCAAAAGGGAAGATCAGCAAAGAGATGGACAGACTGAGTCAAAGAGACCCTTCATAGGCACAATATAATGATCCAAAAGCAACCCACCTAACCCATGTCTGACAATTACATTTCCCCATCGACAGACACCTAATCGTAAAAGAGGACAGGAAAAGTCCAAAGTAAAAGTAAGTCAACGCATTCCAATAAACAATACTCCAGTCTGAGCACATCATCCATACGTACTATAGCAGAGTTCTCCATCGGGGCCACAGGCTCGACTCTCTGGTTCAAGCCCAGCTGCCGATTGTAGGTGGGATCGGAGAAAAACTCTTTGCTCCACGACTCAACCGTGATGGAGGCCACAGAGGAAGGAAGTGAGGCCCCATTCCAGGCGGACGAGTCGTGCTGGTGTTCCGAGGTCGGTCGAGGTTGCGTGTGAGAGGAAGTCCACTGCTGGGGCTGGGAAGACGTCCCGGGGGGCACTTTATGCATCTGGCCCCGAGACAGGGGAGAAGGCGATTGCTCATGTAGTGATGACGATGAGGTGGGTAACCCTGTGCTGCTCTGGTTGGTCGACATGGTAGACGGAGGTCCCTGCTGTCTGGTGTTGGAGCTGTAGAAGCCTGCCTCTGAGGAAGACAACAGAGCAGCTGCTGCCGGTTCGTGCGGGAAAGAGGAAGTCCCCACCCTCGGAGCAACGGTTGTTGCGGAGATCGGAGCCGGGGGTTGAGGAATCCACGTGGAGGAGGGTGGAGTGAGCTGCGAATGTCTGCCACGTTGGCTCCATGACGAAGTCGGGTGAACAGATGAATCGTTTCTTATGTTAGATGTCGTCTGAACTTCCTCTCTTTTCGTGGATAAATGAGTTGAAGTCTGGCTCCCCCATCTTTTAGACTGAGGCAGCTCAGCAAACGATACATCAACACTAGTGGAGGTGCATGAACTGACCACTGCTGCGGCCCCGGACTGTTGTGGCATGGACAGTTTCCCAACAGTGGGGCCCAATATGAAGTCTCGGGGCAGAAGGATGCGGTTTCCGTTTCCTCCAGGTACAAACAATCCATTGATGGGAACCATAGAATCTGAAAATATGACCATATATATGTATATATTTACAATTCCTGAACAATTTACAAAGAACAAGCAGTCTATCGTCAACAAGCTGTATCAACATTGTTTTAGATTTAGTGAACGTTTTAAGGCATTGGCCACATAAATAGGTCACATAAGTGCCAAAGATTAGTTGGGGTTTTTTTTTAGTTTAAGTAAGTGTTTTACGGCACTTGCAACACAATAAGGTCATATAAGTGCCGAAGATCAGAGGTGTTGCAAGAGAGCAACAAACACAAAGAAGAAGAAGGGGAGATAAAGACGATAGACATTTGACAGGAAAGAAAAAGCAAACCACACCAGAGCACCTCCCCAACCACACACAAAGATTAGGTGTTACTAAGAGTAGCATACAAGAAAAAAACAACAACAAAAAACAAGAGGAGATTTAAGGCTGATAGATCCAGATGTTTGATAGGAAAGAAAGGTTGCAAGTTCCACAAATAATGTTTTTAATGATTAAAAAAATCCAGGAAAATAGTAGGAGAACAACATCCAAAAAATTGTTTCCCTTTCCTTTCTTCATTACATTGAAAAAATAACAATAAACCATGAACACTCTACAATATGGCAAAAGCATTACAAAGACATTACAAAACAAATGTGACACTCAGCTGTTTCAAAATTTTTTTTTTCAAAACCCTCAATTTTCTCAGAACTGTTCGTTTGTGACCCACTAACTTCACAGTGGCTGTAACTTTGGAACCAAATTAGCTAGACTAATACCATTTTCACCACTTGTAGAGCTTAAACATGTCTTATATTAGACACCCATAGCATTATATACTCAAATTATGACATGTGACCCTTTCGCGTATAGCTACATATTATATCATACTTGTCAATAGAGAACACATCTGGATTAAACAGTAAAGAAAAGAAATTATAGCTAGATAATCTTAACTCTTTTCTTGCAATGATTAAGTACCATGTATAATGTCAGTTCATAATTGGCCCATTATTTCAAAACAAAACTCATTAGAAAGATACTCCTGCACAATGACAGGACTGAAATGAAGAACCTGTGTAATTAACTTATGGGAGACAATAAAACAATTATCATTCACAAAGAAGACCAAATTGAAATTATCCTTCTCTATCAAAACCTAAAGACCTGACTTCACACAAAGCAGCTCACCTGTGATGTCTGGGACTTCCTCGTCCAACAAAGGCACAAGCTTGTACAAGATCATCTTGCTCCCATGTCTGGTAGTTCCCCCATCCAGACCATCAACTGACCGTGCCGCTGTATCTGGCTTTGCTTTCGCATTCTCGTCAGACAACTCTGAATGCTCCGCAGTCCAGATCATGTGATCGTCTCCCTGCTTGCCTCCATCTAGCTGGCCCGAGAAGAGACCAGTTTCAGGATCTAACATGCTCGTTGTTTCCAGTTCATCCTTAGAATTGCTCAAACCGTTCGAGTCCCTGCTTACATCAATCTGTGTTCTCTCTTCGGTCGCCTCGTCCTGTTTGAGATGCTTCTCCGAATGACTTTCGCTGATCCCCGACATGGAGTCAATCTCTGAGTTGGAAGGAGTAAGGCCTGCTTTAACCAGAGACATCTGGTCTCCTGTGGAGAGACTTTCTGAACCATTTTCACGACTTGACCTTGATGTTCCATCATCGTTATGGTTAGCCTTCTTTTTGGTATTCCTTTTACTCCTCGTGGAAGGAACAGAGTCAGAGTTTTTATTCTTTATCGAAGGGCTGGGGTCAGAGACACTGGCATTTGAACTTTCTCGGTCGGAGATAGACTTGTCCTTTGTTCTCAAGCTGTGCCTCAAACTTCTCTCTGGTACAGTTGCACTACCGTCAGCTTCCAAATCTGGCACATCGGTAGACCAATCAGCCTTGTTTCCCTTTTGCCCCTTTTCTGGAGAGTTCGATCTTTTCAAAACTTTTCGTGCCCGTGGTAACTCATCCACAAAAGGTGCTGGTAGCTGGCGCTTACCACTAGACACTGGAGATGATTTGGCTGACTTTTGAGGATGGTCTCGTTCACTTCGCCGTGTGGTGATAGAGGACCGTGACACCAAACGTCTCGCTGCTCCAATTCTTCGCCTGTGCCTTGATGAAACTTTTGATTTGAAACGAGTTGAAGAAGCAGGGTTAGCAACTTTCTTCTCCACATGTTTGCTATCCTTCCTCTCAGATCCCTCCTTTCCACCAGTCAGTTTGTCTTTTTCAGCTGTGGTTGCAGTCGTATTCTTTTTACCAGAGGCTTCAGTTCTCATTTCATCTTTCTTGTTGTTGGATCGAGTGCTCAATTTTGAGTTAGAATCTTGATCTGTCTTTTCATTTTGCTTGCTGTGTCTGGTGATAATTTTTTCCTGATTACCCAAGGGCTGAGCATCATTTGACGACTGACTTACGGAGCTTCTCCTCTTTGACCTCATACTTCGGCCGGGGGCCTCCATCTCTACCCCACCCTCCTCTTTATAGTCTACTCGCCGGGACTGTCTTTGTGGCCTTGAACTGCTCCTTCGATTATCATCTTTTTCCCTCTGCTCCTTCCTTACAAGACGCTGTGAAATCCTCCTTGAAGAGCTTTCAGATTCACTGTCACTCTTTGAGTCATCACCCATTTCATAATCTTCATCCTCTTCTTTCGTAGATTTTTTGGCATTCTTCAACCCTGTTTTGTTAAACAATTTTCTGTTTTTGTCTGGTTTTCCCAACTTTTTATTTCCACCGGGCTTGTTCCTAGGAGCGTGTCCTTGTTTATTTTCAACACCACCTGGTTTAGAAAGTTTACCTCCCTTCAGGTTTGACTTGAACGGTTTCTGGTTTTTGCGATAGGGTGTGTCCTCCTGTTCAAAAGGCTTCTTTGGTTTTCTCTTCCTTATTTCTCGCCGTGGAGTTTCCTCCTGACGAACAGGATGAATATTCGATTTGCCAACCTTCGGTGGGTCGGCATCAGAGGACAAGCTGCTGGTTTTCTTGGTGATGACTGTCGCTGGTTCCTCTTTTTCCCTACTCACAGCATCTCCTGCTGGGCCGTCCTCCGCCCGCAAAGAATCGAGTTTGCTTCCCTCTCTAGACAGTTCACTGTCAACATTTTCCTGTCTCAGTGTTGTGCTTTCCCCCTGACCTGAGACGGCCAGTATTTCACTGGCGATCTCTGACAGAACCTTCAGACCACCCTCATTCTTTCTCATTTCTTGGGTGGGAACGGAAGAACTAGTAGAGAAAGTCCTGCCGGCCTCCAGCCTCGCTGGAGAAAAGTCCCCTTGCTTGTCTTGAATAATCGGAATGTGAGATTGAGCTGACGGAGCAATTGGTTCATTGTGAGACCTCTGCTGAGCCTGGGCACCATGTTGTCCCTGTTGAAGCACAGTACTGTGCTGTCTCTCCCCGCCAGAACAGCTCTCGAAGAGAGATTGAATGAGGCTGTTCTCCTTCTCCATCAGAGTAGGCTGACTGTGCAACTGTCCTACATGAACATTCTTTGGCACTGTCTGGGAAACAGTTTCGCTGTGAATTGACGTGGAATGTCTCTCTCCTCTTAGAGGAGCAGACTGTGCAACAGAGTTTACAAACTGTTTGTCTGATGGTGTATTGTAGTTTTGAGATTGGACACCACTAGATTCAGTTCCCAGAGCTTGAAGTTGCTTTACCTGTGAGGGGTGTGTGCTTCCCCCTGCAGATTTGGTAGAGAATGAGCTAAATGTTCTTTGTGGCTTTTCTCTCTGACTAGGTAACTCTTGCCGAGTTTCTCGAACCTGCCACACAGAGTTGGCCGTCTGAATTGACGGAACTGACACTGAGGGTTTTGGTCTAAAGTCCTCTGACAGGGGAGTCACGGGGTTGGAAAGACTTCTAACATGGGGACTAGGGTTGCGCTGTGGCTGCTCGGGAGGGCGATGGTGAATGACCTGTTTCGCACTGAACTGTTGTGAATGCATGGCAGGCGAGGAAGAGATGGAGGACAACTGTGTGTACTCAGGAGGAGGGGAGGATGGGGACTGCAGATATTTCACTGGGTCGTAACTTGCAGAGGAAGAAGGGGATCCAAACTGCGAGGGGAAAGATAGAGTAAAACCTGCACCATCCGAAGACAAAGAGTCTGGCCTACTATGCTGAACCGGGTCCCTGAACTGTTGCGCTGTGGCTTCAGCTCTTGATGTCATTTTCATTTCGTACTGACGCTCGCTGCTTGGCAGACGGCACACAGGACCACCGGTGTACTGTTGCGTGGCAGACTGCTGCTGCTGTTGGCTTTTGTACTCCGGGCTTCCAAACAACTGCCCATAACTACTGGATCTTTTACCCACTAGATCCTGAGTTGGAAGACTAGCCCCAGATAAGGACCTATGCGGCTCAAAATTCTGCACCTGACTTTGCCCAACACCAGCTAATCTATCTTGTCTCGAATCCCGTGCACTGGAAAAACCAGTCGTAAAAGGGGAGGTGACAGGAGCACTTGGAGACGGACTCTCACTGGTGACTTTTGGTGGCAGGACGTGCTGAAAGGAACTTGCGGACTGTGATGAGTTGGCAGCGTACCTGGAGGCAGAGGGAGGTCTCATGAGTGGACTGGTGCTGGAAACTGAGAGCTGAGGGGTGGAGGCGGGGCGGGGTAGTGGTGTTACCAGCTGCCTGGTACTAGAAGCAGTAGACCGGGAACCGACAAACGTTTGGGTGGAGGGACTGGCAAAGTGGGGAGGAGTCATGGGCACCAACTGGGGACTAACAGCACATCGTGGGCTAGCAGACTGCCGAGGGCTGGCGGGCTGGCGGGGACTTCCTCCACCTTGCCGAGGGCTGGCTGGGGAATTGAGCCGTCGCGAGATCTCTGGGTGCTGCTGGTGGAGAGGTGACTGAGAAAGTCGGCCCGCGGGAGTCGTGGACACAGTCGTCACGCTGCCCGACTGGGGCAACACGAGCTGCTCGCTAGCCGGAGAGGGCATGGGAGAGAACTGTGCTCGACCACCCCAAGACGCAGATGTTTGGTCGGGGTCAGTGTCCTTTGGCTGCTGCAACAACTGCTCCGTTATTTTCGGCGTGCTTGCAGCAAAAGATGGGGTCATAGCCGGCGACACGTTTGAGAAGGTCTGTTGGTAGACACCAACCTGAGGGGACTTTTGGGCCGCCGTGTAAAGGTTGGAAGCATTTGATGATGTGAAGCCTGTACTCCCAACATGATGCTTGGTTTGAGGTCCTGCTGTAAACTGCTGACGAACATCCATTGCCTGGGTCTGCACCTCCAGATGCTTTGGTACGTTCATCTCAACCCTCGACACAACCACGCCTCTCTGCTCACGGCTCACCCCATGTGAACCTGTGTCTGTGAGTATCTTGTGCAGCTGCTGCTCCTGCATCGGTTCATCAGCTTGTTGATGACGAGGCAGCTGTTGGTGACTGCCTTGCTGCTGCTTGTCCAATATCTGCTGCTGTTGCTGCTGCGCGTGATGAACAAGCTGAAGCAACAGTTGGTGTTTTTGTTGCTTGGGGTCCTGTGGAGGCTGCTGGAGGTTCTGATGGGCTTCGATACTCTTGGCCAACTGCTGGAGCTGGACAGCCTGGAGTTCCGTTGCTGAGAACTGCTTTTGCTGCTGTGGCCTCGACTTTTCTTGACTAGATTTGGCAGTCGCCATCTGAGACACCCCCTGAAACTTTCCTACTTTCCCAGAAAAGGTGTTGCCTGCATAATACCCTCCCTCGTTGCTGACAGGAGATTTAGAGAAACTTTGCATTTGGTCATCAACAGTGTTCATATCATCCACCGATACCTCCAGCCTTTTCAGGGAGGCAAGCTGTACCACTCCCACAGGGATGAAAGCCTCTTCGTCATCATCATCATCATCTTGCATTGCTGAGAGTTCACCCGGTGGAGTCCTCTGAGGCTGAATAGGATTCTGACCCAACAGCGGCGTCGCAGATTCCCCCAAATTCACATTTCTTCCTTGAGAACCGCTGCCAAGAAACACACCCAGCTGGTTTGGAGATTGATCCTTCACGGGGGTTCTGACTGCCGAGCTCCTCACAGAAGTCACAGCACTGGATTTTTCCGATGAACCCAGAAGAAAGTTTTTGAGTTGATGTGAAGTCTCTTCCTGACACTTGAACTGCGAACTGGGCTGTGTATTTGAACTGAACATATGCACAGATATACCAGTGTTACACTCGTCCGTTACCTTTGTATCCATCAACTGCCTACCAAGAATAGATGGGGACTTGCGAAGATCAGATTCGACTCCGTGAATAACGTTAGATGCAACACGAATCAAGGTTGATGTAGACTGTGGCGACTCTCTGTTGACAGACGGCGACTTCGCTCCCCTGCCCGTAGCTGGACTGTGGAGCTCAGCCTGCTCAGATCTCTGTTTGCCCTTGCCATATTCTCGCAGACTGCCCTTCCCACTACTGATGAAGTTGTTGTTATTGCTCTCCGTTTTCTTCCCCACTGTTTCAACCAGACTAAAAGGCAGACTGGCCACTGTAGAGACACTTACTTGGGGTCCCACCACTTCCTTGTCATTTTGCTCTTTTCGATTTCTTCCTGCATTCACAACAGAAAACTGTGCAACCGACTCAGTAGCTGAAAATGAACCAGCCGCTGAAGACCTTGAGATCACAGTCTCCCCTTGCCCGGCATCTAAATCCAAAAAATTCCGACTCTGTTGACCATCTGCCTTCTGAACAGTGCCAGAAAAACTACCAGGGCCATGATCAACCTGCGACACCAACTTGATCTGATTTCCCAGAGTGGAAATGTAATGCCTCTCAGAGCCGGGGCCTACAGGACCAACGTTTTGAGCTTTCCCCGCAGAGAAATTTAGAGAGTTCTCTTGGGATTCCTTCTCCATGGCAAAAACATAGAACAATTCACATAAATTCACACAGCATATTCAATTCTTCAGTTTGCACAAAAAACTTCCTCTAAAGGATTTGCATCAATCCAACATTTTCAGGAAACCAATCATTAGATTGAAACTGTTAGTGCAGGGGTCCTCTTCAAGAAGACCTATCATTATGCAAAGCGGATTCTACTGAAAAGAACAAACTGGCTGAAATTCTAGAACTGCAGCAAGATTTCTCTCCTCGGTCACCTGAAAAGAGACCAAAATTAACAGATGAGAAGCATGAACATAAAAATCAAATACGTACGTTTGACGCCCCTTGTGGGACCTTTGAATTTAGTGTTCATTTCCCAAATAAACAGGCCAAACGGGAAAATTTGTGTTAACTAAATGTGAAGTTTGGTGTGAGACATACAAGTCCCTTGTGAGCAGTACAGGCCATCACAGGCATTAACAATGGGAAACAGAATCCACCTTTACCTGTTTCTCTGGCCTTAATCAGTAATGACGACAGAAAAGGGCTCAAAGAAACGAAACATTGCTAGCAAAGCAAGGAATATATGTGTTTAGTAATACTGCTATACGGAGAGAGAGAGAGAGAGAGAGAGAGAGAGAGAGAGAGAGAGAGAGAGAGAGAGAGAGAAAGGATGTGGGATGGGGAGCAGACACACACAGAGATAAAGAGAATCTTTCAAATTCTTATTTTAGTAGTAAGAGTTTTACAGCATTTGCAAAACAATAAGGTCATATAAATGCCAAAGATTTTAAAAGGTATTACAAGTCTGTGAGATTTAAAGGATGATAAATGTTTGATAGGAAAGATGGAGCAAACCACACCAGAGCACACACCAACCACCCACAGATAAAGAGAAAGACCATATTAAAACGCTTTTTGTTATTCACCCCAGGTGAGAAATAAAATACGATCGACCTCTCACCCCAGGTGAGACTTGCCAGCGTTGGCTATTCTCACCAGTTGTGAAATAAGACCAGTTTTTTCTAATTTTTCAATACTCCCTTCTATGATGATTTTTCTATACTCGCAGTGAGCCACGGCATTTTAAGAACCATTCAAACGGAGAATCAACTTTGTCTTCCATCTCTTTATTCTAAGTTAGCTCTAGATTCTCCTGGATGGCGGGAACGAAACCGTTTCACCTCCCCATCTAACTTATTTTCATCTGATGAAAAAATTGCCTTAAAAGTGGTTCGACGTGATTTATAAATCTCAGGAGCACACACTGCACCTCAAGCATATTATCATTCCGTTTATGATGATGAGCTGGTTGCAGCTGTGTAGTCGAGGAAAATAGATAGCACCTAACGAAGGTCCAATGAGTGCATAGGAGACTGTGTCACTGGGGAAAGTGTCATAAACTTTCACCCCGTTGTCAAGTCTAAGAGAGCGTGAGCCCTTAGAAAAGAGAGAGCGAGTTAATAAGACATATAGATTTAGATCAATAGATCTACTTCTACGTTGTATTCTTTGTACTCTCTCTCTCTCTCTCTCTCTTTCTCTCTCTCTCTCTCTCTCTCTCTCTCCTGCTATTGTAGCTTTCCCCGGTTAATACTAACTGACACTATCTTTTGATTTCTACTAATGCATACTCCTAAAGACCCTGTCATCAATACTATCTCATCAATACGATCAATAATATGTGATTGTCAATGTCTAGGCCTAGATCTAGATTTAGTAGATCGTGAGCCTATGCACCCGGTGCCCGGTACTGGTACACTAGATTTATCCTCTGATCTTATCACTCGTTACCGAAGTGAGACTATTTTTAAATCTAATGTTTTTCTTTTTAAATAATTTAAATCTAGATAAATTATTGAAATACGTTTATCAATACTTAAGTTTGGTAGATAGATCTATATATTTAGATCGACCTAGATCTAGATTCTAGATTAGAATGGGCCCTAGAGTAGGACTAACTAGGACGCTCTCATACTCTGCTCTATCCAACAAGCCCAGGGCCAAGCCATCGGGGCTCAGTCACACGCTCGCTGGGGGCGTGGCCTATTTTATGCGTGCTACGTTTTTTTAACAAAGGGAAAGAGGCAGCTGCAGCATCTTACCGTAGGGAGTAGTATCTTTGCTACAACTGCGCTATTCTCACCATAGAGGTGGCCACCCAAGAAACCCCTGCTGTTTATATTAAGACCTCAAAACAGTCAAATAAAGCAATTTTCAATTTCAAGACGGCTTTCCACATCGCAGCCCTACATTTCTCCCTAGAGGATGAAAGATCCTAAAAATCAACAAAAATCTGTTTCATTTAGCCAAAGTCCCAGTACTTTCTGACTTCACCGTGAGCTGCATGACAGTCTTTCTAGCATTTTATTTCATTTTTCTGATTCAGTTGCTATTTGAGTTCAAAGCCTGTCAATAAGGCAAAGAATACAGACAGTCTTTCCATAAAAACATTAAGGCCTACACTTAAAAACCTAATGTTGTCTTGTTGTCCCAATAAGTCAATTTCAACCGACCAATTTTCAAAAAAGTAAAAAAAGCATCATCATAAAATAATATTTATATAGATTATATATATATATAAAAATATATATTCATTGCTTGTGGAATATATTGCATTTTTTTAAATTGTTTATAATAGCCTAGGGTAGTACTACCTCTTTTAAAAAGCTGTGGAATAGATTAGCCTTATAGCCAGGAGCATAATAATAAATAATTTGGAATAAAAATAATTTATAAACACAAATATATATAATCTCTATATTATATTTGTGAAAGTTCATCACTTTGGCCGCCCAAAACTTCCGAACCATTTAACTTTCGAATTTGACAAAATTAATGTTGGTTCAGAATCATTTAAAGAATGCAGTTTTATTGAAGAGCCTGAAGTCACTGAAGTTTAATTTTCAGTTAATCATTAGTTTCGTTTAGATCCAATTTGATGAAAGTGCGTCTTTTAAGACGCCATTGCAAACAACATAGCTGCCACTCGAGAATCTAAAAAAAGGAGGACATTCACGCAAAGGCGTAGATCTATGTGCCCTTTCCGAAGGCTGGAGTAAAACCATGAGATCCAGAGGCAATATACTGGAACATCTATGTTTTTTTAAGGGAAAAGTGTCATATATTTGTTAACCATACTGAATTAAAATGTATTTTAAAAAACAAAAAACAAACAAAAAATCCCCAAGACAGAAAGTTGACTAACAATAATTTGACCCAGTTTGGTGACTATAAATCCATTGTTTGTTTGCCAGCTAGTGTCTTATAAAAAGATTTATTTCACTTTCGACTTGTGCAACGATGTAGAGCAGTACCGGTACTGGATTAAGGAGGCAACACCTTTGCCACTGAGTGACTGTACTACGAGATTTACATTGCACCAAACGCAAAGTGCAGCACCCGGCTTGTTCAATTTTCTAATGAACTTTTGAAGTCGTACACCGTCTGCTTCTTTCTCAATCCAGCTCCATTTATTTTTGCATTCTGCATCAAATTCTCTCGAATTTCTGCCGTTTTCAATGACAACTCAGCGCGCCATTGTCCCAATGTACAATCGACACTGTCGCTCCACAATAAACAATGTGAAACTAACGCTAGACAGGCACAGAACGGAAGCTATGGGCGGACATGCGCAAGGAGTGTTTTCGTCTCACTCCCGGTTCGGTGTTTTCCACGTGTAAAAAAGTATCGCAATTTGCAACCGAGAGCGGTCCAGCGGAGGAAGGAGGAAAGTAGCAGGAAAAGCTAGATGAAGCGGAGTTTACGCTATTTAGCGGAAAAGTGGCAGCTATGAAACAAGAGAGGTTTCCGTTCACTAGCCGAGCGCACTGTTCCACAATGACTTGACGATCGATTCATTTGATTTCATTCATAGAAAGGGGGCCCAGCTAGTAAATAATAATTAGTGTCTCAAAAGTAGACTATAAATTATAAAAAGCAGGCATGACCCCAACTTCCAATAAAAATTATCTCAGACCTTTTTACTTTGATGAGAACACTTGCTCAAATTCATAAAAGTAAATATAAAGCAGCTGGCAATCATTTATTTAGTTTTAAGTTTTAGTAGAGGTCTTACAGCACTCGCAACTGCATAAAAGGTCATATGAGCGCCAAGGGGTGGATGTAAACAGAGAAGTCCTTACAGGGAATCAGACTTACTCTGCTCACCTCTCTAGCTTCAACAGCACAAAGTCTGCTTCGACTATCAAGGCACCTCGGAAATAGCGGGTCACAAGAGTGTGACAAACATACAAAAGAAGTAGAGGAGAATGACAATAGTAAGG